GGAAAGCTCTTAAGGTAATAGAAAAACTGAATCTACTGTTCTCATTTTGTTTGTTTTGTGTTTTGTTTTGAGACAGTGTCATGCTGTGATATTCAGGCTGTTTGAACTTGTAGTCCTCATGCCTCAGACTTCCCAATGCACTCAATTTGAAATGGAGCCTCTATCTAAAATGTAATACACACAGCATCTTAAATTTAAAATAACTTTAGAGTCAAGATGGCAGAATAGAATAATAGGCAGCAGTTTGTTGCTTCTTCATGACTTGCAATTATAGCAGCTAAAAAACAGCTGTTTAGCAAGGTGAATGAAGGAAAGAAAGCACTGAAATTCAGGATTGCACAGAGAGAAAAAGCTATAAACTTCCGTTAGCAGAACAGATGGCTAAAGGAGTATCTTGTTCTGAGTTTGGGCCAGTGACAGCAACCGGATGTCACAGCATGGGGAGGAGGGGAGATGCACAGAGAAAAAGAATCATAGTACACAAATTTTAGCAGATTCAGAGAAGGGGGAAAAAGTCTGAACTTTACTAATCTGGAAGCTACATACCAAGTGGGTGCTTGAGAAGTTTTTGGCATTTGTCAGTGTGGAAGTATGGAACCATGGTGAAAAGCCATTTTGACAAAGTTACGCCTGAGCTTGCTGCTTAGGAAAATGAGCTTGAGTCTTCTTTTCTCTCAAATTCACAGCAAATATTGCCTCACTACTTCAGCTAGATTAGGCCTTATGGCTAAATATGGTTCTGGTGGAATGCTGCTGAGGCATGCCCATTGAAAATTAGATAAGGCGATGAAGCAGAAAACTGCATAAGATTTCCCGACAGAACTGACAAAACATGGAGTTTTAGGAACAAAGAGCAGTTTATTCTGCCAGCCCCTGTGCAAGGGTCTAATGTCTCCTTGAGAGCCCTGAACAAAGCTTTGTTTCCCCTTTTATATTGTTTCTTTTCTACGGGGCAATCTTTCATTGAAAATCAGCATGAAGGGAGATTATAGAAGCAGAGCAGTGATTAAGAGGGTGAACAGCTCATTTTGGGAGATGGCTCAGTGGAATAAGTGCTTCCGTGGCAAGTGCAAGGGCCTGAGTTCAATCCCTGGTTCCGC